TGTGCCTGACAGCTTCAACTCCCTGGGCTACCTCCCCATGGCCTCCTCCAAACACCTTCCTTATTCTCGCCACAGGACCTTCCTCCTGGTGTCTGATAACGCTTGTGCTCCTCAGTCCTCCAGCAGCACACCCTCTCACTCTCAGCTTCTTGCACCTCTTGCTCCCAGCTCCACACACTCACTCCACAAACTGAAGTGAGCTCCTTTTAAAACCCAGGTGCCCTGATTAGCCTGCCTTAATTGATTCTAGCAGCTTCGTCTTAATTGGCTCCAGGTGTCCTAATTAGCCTGCCTGCCTTAACTGGTTCTAGCAGGTTCCTGATTACTCTAGTGCAGCCCCTGCTCTGGTCACTCAGGGAACAGAAAACTACTCATCCAGTGACAAGTATATTTGCCCTCTACCAGACTCCTGTACCCCACTGATCTGGGTCTGTCACACTAGAAAAAATGCTTAGTGTATTTTGTGTGACTTCCTAAACGTTCAGATTTTATGAAGATCAGCCATCTTTTATGTGATGTATAGACAGTTTGATGGATTTTTCACCAGTCTTTGGTTTCTGTGTTGCTGACAGTGCTGAAGAGAGCGTAGAACATAAGTAATGCTGCTTCATTTATGTGCCAGTGAAACTAGGTTTCAGTACATTGAGCTTTGTACTATTAATAGAAACACATAATGCTTTAGGTTTATTTATGGTTTCTTGGACATATCTGTAATGGGCTTAAGCAACAGAATATAAAATATTGAATACACTTCATTGCACTGGCCACAGTGCAGAGTTCCTTTTTTCTATTATCCTGGTGTCACTCTGCAAATTGTGTCTAATATATAGTACCTGGACATCAAAAGAATTCCTTGTTCAAAGTGTTCTCTTTGTAGGACACTATTACCGTTAATTAAAACATGGTGTTTTGATCTTTGCAAGTGGCATACATTAGAGCTTCACTGTGCCATTTTCCTCCGTATACCTTTTCCTGATTAGTAGAGATGAGTGCCCTTGTGGGATAACTGTATTGCAGTGTTGTTGAATAATGCATGATGCTTCCTTTTTTATTACAGTATTACTTCACTGAACAATGCAGTTGCACATTTTATGCAAAATATTCCATGTATATGTTGTGAAATGTCTTTTTGTTTGGAGTAGACCAGTGACGTACATTAATTCATCACTTCTACAAACACGTGGAAAAATCAAATTAATTCTGCTGTGGTTAAAACTGTATGTAATAAGTTAGTTGACTTGTTTTTAAATCATTCTCTATGGTGAATTAATTTTAAGAACAAAAATAAATCTGATGGACTGAGTAAATTAGTCTGTCTTAATCTATATCCCTATGTACAATTAATTGTATTGTACCTCTGTGTCGACAGACAAATGTTGGTCATAATACTTGACTGGTAGCCTGACAGAAAAATATTAGCTTTCAAGTCAGCAAAGTACTGTGGGGGAACTTCAGCTCTTTAAATAAATAATATTGCAATATTATGAGAGTTCCTATTGGTAATACATTTAATGGGGGAAGGTTGTGCACTTGTAATTGACTCATGGCAAAGACCAGTTTATATTGCAAAATGAAGGAATTGGTTACGTCACCTACTAATGTTCTCTCCAAATCCCTTTATGTGGGCTCATAAACACAAGGAATATGTTTGTCAGTCTTGCTCGGGATAGAAGGAAGAAGCTAAATAGTCAATTCTTGACGTTCAAGGATTTATGCATTGAATTCCCATTAGCTCTAACGGAAGCTTCCTACTTGCATCCCTTGTGTATCTTAAAAATTGTACTACAACACAAAGAATTGTTCCTGGTTTTTTTAAGTCCTTCTTAGTGTAAAAACGAATGCAATATACTGTATAATTTAATAGACTATCCAGGCCTGTACTGTACTCTCTGTTTTCAGAATTCTGGGGTTATTGGGGAGGCAGAGGAGAGCTAATGTTCTAATATGCTAAACACAAGTATGTATAAAATACAGCACTTCAATATAAGGCAATATTTTTATTTAAAACAGATTGAAACTCTTTCTCTAAATAAATAATTAAATGTAAACTTAATCCAGTGACACTTACAATACAGTGAAACTCCTATCTAAAGATAACAAGTACTGCACCCTGTGCAAATACTGAAGAGTTGGTGCACTAGGATGAATTTTAGATATGATATGTGGGAACTACTAAAACCTTATTTTTTTTCCTAAGAGGCAAGTACTTGCCTCTTCTAAACTCTCTGAACCAACCCCTCAAATCATAATCCCAAGGGAAAGGGATCTGTGTCCTCAGATAGTAATTCTTACAAACTGTGAATACATAAATGCTAATTTGAACCAATTATATAGAAGCTTTGTGATGTGGGGACTAAATGTGGGCCCCACTCATACTCCTCTTTTTTTCACAATCATAGGCTTTGAACCCAGATAGTATATTCAAAGGTGAAAAGCTAATGCACTCCCCTGGTGTACAGCATAACCCCAGTGTCTGGATTATGGAAAATATTCTGGGGACTTCTAGATATGCTACTGTGGCTTGGTGCCTGTGGGATTCACCATTACTAGTATTTCAGACAACACAGGGTGGGTTCTGTGTAGAAAGTAAAGCACTTTTCTGTTATATTTGCTTTAGTGTTGGGTAAAAATGGAGCTGTAGCTGGCTATTCATCCAATCCAGATTGTTCTTGTCATATGAATGAAATGTCAATATTATCAGTAATTTTATCAGAGTAGTGAGATGAGCGCTGGCCATGTGGAAACTTTTTTTAAAGCTGATTTAATGGCAAAATTGTAAACCATCTCCTCTTTTGTTTCAAAGGCTAGCATTTCAAGGATGTTCCCTTACTGCTATGGGGGAAAACATTACTGAAGACAATTAAAGGCAGAGTTTTGATAGCTTTCTCCTATTTGTCATTTAGGGTTCTTGGGGGGATGATAGGCAGAGATTTAGGGACAATACATTGATGACTGTGTGAAAATGGCATCTGCATTGAAAAATGACAGGACTGGCGGACTCAGTATGACTGTTTTTATACAGAAACGCTGGGTGAACTGAGGATGACTCTTTCTTTCTTCCTTTCGCAGTGTGCTGGGGAAGAGAATTGGGTGGACAATCGGACTATTTATGTTGGGCATCGTGAACCTCCTTCAGGCACTGAAGCATACATTCCACAAAGGTATCCAGATAACAGGATAGTCTCATCAAAGGTAGAAGTATTTCCTTTCATTCAGTGTTAGAAAATGCATCATTTTCTGCTTTATTCTGTTCATTTTTTGTTTCCACAAAAATCTTTTTTTGCTTCTTAATTCATCATCATCTTTACTGTGACAGCTTCTGGAAAAGGTAAAATGAAAAGTGCTGCAAGTTTCCTTCATCAAATTGCCTCTGGCTTGAAGGGGAATAAAATGACTCATTCTGTGTTAATATCAGTGATGTACATTAAGCCAGTAATATGACTCCACATGATTCATTAAAAATGTGGGCTTTTTTATTAAAAAAAAAAGGCAAATATTAGTGTGGAGACAAGTTGGGAAAAATGGAGGAATAAATCTTCCTTCTCTTACTTTCTATTCCCCTGCTACATATCCAAGAATAGTGTTAGCTTTCTTAGCTACAGCATTGGACTGGGAGCTTGTGCTCAATTGGTTATACGCTATGATCATGGGCAGCAGATGAATCCCTGCTTTGGAGAGGCTAGCCTACCGCCCCCCGCTTCCACCCAAGGCCCCGACGCCTGCATGCCGCAGCCCTGAAACAACCCCCCAACAGGAGAAGCCCTGAGGGGGTCCCTGCGACCAAAGGAGCCCCGACCCGCCCACCCCAGCCACATCGGGCTGAGCCCCCAACCCCTCCGAGCTGCTGGGCTGAGCTGCCCGACACACTGCACCCCAACCCCGGGTCCGGCCCCTGTGCCCGGCCGAACCACCGCCTCTGAAGGCCATCCCCGGGCCGACCCACCGTCCCCAACGCTGGACTGAGCCGCTGGCCACCCGAGTACCAGGCCCGCTCCAATGCCAGGCCAACCCCACAAGCGCCGGACCCCCTCCTCGGCCGAGCCTCTTTACTCCCCCGCCCACTGCTGACTCTCTGCGTCCCTCCTCATTCCCCTGTCCCCGAGGAGGAGGGACACTGAGCAGCAGGGCCCTCCAGAGTGGGGGGTGGAGTGGAGGAGACATGGCAGGCAGGAGCAGTAGCAGACAGTGGGGGCCTTGGGGAAGTAGTGGGGCCCAGGTGTCCGGCGGTGGGTGGGCAACAGCGCCAGGGAAAGCTAAGCCTTCCCTGGGTTGTTATACCTGCCGCCCATGGCTATGATCCCCATAAGTCCCTTTCAGACTTGATGCATTCTAGGATATTGTCTCCCATCCTGCATGGGCGGCGGGTGGAGCTGCCCTTCAGGGAGGCTAGTCCCCAGCTCCGCCCCTTCCACCTG